CTATGTACAATTAAAGACTGCATTTTAAATTAAAGCTCAGATACGTAACTTTTTTTTAGGGGGATACTAGGTTCGTGTTTCATTCTATGTTTCTGGACATATATATTATACATATCATACCTACTAATATTTAATTAATTTTCTCTGAATATACATAACTGAAGAATCAATGTTTGTAATTGTTAGTTACAGCAGATCTAGTCAGTATTATTAGTTAGCCACTTTGTCATAACTTAGTCATAAATGTATCTAAGATTAAAAAGGATTTTTAATCTTAGCTGAAGAGAAATCCATTTTGCTTAGAAGTTAACAGTCATCAGCAATAACACATTTAATTATTATTCATGATGGAAATATCGTTAGATTGTTTAAAGTCATTACCACCGCACTGATTAAAAGATCCCATTTTATTATATCCCCCGTGTAAAATATCCGTGTAAAAATCACAGAAATTCTATTAATTGTGATCCCAGCTCTTGTTAAAATCTCAGGATATATATCATGATTAAGGAATATATATGCATTTGAAAATTTTTCAGTTTGCAATAGAGATCCTCTGCCGCACAATATAACCGGTATTTTATAGGTTTTTTGTTAGGTAATTTGTTTTAGACCCCGGGTCTTTTAATCAGTGTGGTACGGTAAATTTTTTAGTTCTAGCTTTAACAATGTTTATTCAGTTGATATACTGTATACAATAAAAATGTTATTAAAGATAAAACTGTTTCTTTTGATGCCAGAAAAATTCAAAGTATCACGCCTCAAGGAGCTTATCTTAGAGGTATAGTAGTAAAAGATAAACATAATGTTAATAATCTAAATGATAAAATCTTTGGAGGATTAAATACCAACAAAGTTAAAAATATTAATACTGAAGATAATATTTCAAACAAATTTAATGGTAAGAAAATGGAACCTAACTACCTGCTTAGTAGATACAAACTTTATAAGCATTTAAAAGAGAATATTCACATAATTGTACAATTGCCTGCTGCCACTGGTAAGTGTCCTGAAATTTGCCTCTTGAATAAAATTTGCAGCCATCTATTGTAAAATTTAAAATTATCAATTTTTTTTAATTTCCCTAAACACATTAAGTAACTAATTTATATATAATCAAAGCTTGTCAAGATTAAATTCCAAAAGGTCCATAAATTCAAAAATAAATTCTATAATATAAAATATATATCTTTTATATACCGATTATGCCGAAATCATAAACTTACAGCTATTTTCATAATTCCTGGAACATCTGATAAAAATTGACCGAATGATTTTTCGGTCAATCCGGTTAAGTTATTGAGTTCGGCATATAATATAGATTACATTGTAATTTGATATGTATATATATATATATATATATATGTATACGTTTTCGCACAAACTAAACACAATAAACGGTGGGGTGCGCGATATACTATGTAAATCAAAACTATATATGGTATCATATAAAAGCTTAATATCTAAAATTTTATATAGCACATAATTTTACTTATAATTTTTCGCGAAATTTAAATAGATGCACAGCCGTAACGGTTTAATATTTTAGGATAAAATTTTGCAGAAGACAATATTGCAATATTATACGTAGCTCTACAAGCAAAGTTACAAAGCTATTTTTCTTATTTAAATATAAAAATAAAGAAATAGTTCAGTCAACTTCTTAAAATTCTTCAAGCTTAATAGAAATGGCATCGTAACTTTGCTTGTAGAGTTATAATATTGATCTCGGCGAAATTTTATCCCAAAATAATAAACCGTTAGAGCTGTGCATCTATTTAAATTTCGCGAAAAAACTATAAGTAAAATTATGTGCTATATAAAAGTTTAGATATTAGGTTTTTGTATGATACCACATATAGTTTTGATTTACATAGTATATCGCGCACCCCAACTAAACGCGTTGGGCAAGTATTCAAATGAAATTTAATATCGAACGTGTCAACATTTACAATATTAAAATTATTTGTAGAACTAAGTTTCATATGTTTTTTATATATTAAGTTTCTGATATGTAATATTTGCATGTAAATAACGTTGGTTAAACCTTCAGAGTGCTGGCAAAACTTTCGTGATGCAAGTGCAATAATCATGTGTCAGTGCACTAGTTAACTGTTAATGTAAAAGTTAAGTGAGTACGTACATACGTGCATACATATAGTACTGTACAATTTTATAATTTTATTGTCGAATTCACAAACTTAATCGAATCAGCCGAAGCATCATTCGGTCAATTTTTATCAGGTGTTCCAGGAATTATGAAAATAGTTGTAATCGAATCGAAACTTAATCGAATCGGCCAAAAAAATCATTCGGCTAATTTTTATCAAGTGTTTCAAGAATTATGATAATAGCTTAACATTTCGTTGTTAAAACTTTAAGTACCATACATACCTGTATGTAAATATGTCATTGACTTATAATAGTTCAAATGTAATAAAATTTAGATCATTAATAAAAAAGCATTGTACAGTATATGTTGTACGTCGGAAAGGAATTTGTGTGGATTCCGAGTACTTAAGTTGATTCTAAATACGTACACTACGGATGTTATTATACACCTGATAAAAATTAGCGAATGATTTTTCGACCATTTTGGATAAGTTGTGGTTTCGGCATGAACTGTATAATAAAAACTATTTTAGTATCATAATGATTGTTTTACGTACAAATTATAAGATAATGTCAACATTATTAAAATTTCGATCAAATACTTATTCAAGATGTTTAGTGTGTTTAGTTTGTACGAAAATTTATCTTAAGACAGCTCTTGCCAACTAATAAATCTTAGACTCTTATAATAAACATAAACGATTTGTGCTAATATTAAAAAAAGGCACTAAAATATTATATATTTTTCTTTGTATATCCAAGTTGATTTATAGACTAAATTGTCATAAGACTAATTTTGTTCCATCTCGGATTGCAAATACCAATCAGGTTTTTCTTTCAAAATATATTTTATATCGTTCATGTTTAATGAATGTGATTTTTCTTAAAGTGACGGATGTTTTTCAATACATCTATATCTCTGAAAGTGCTTGAAAATCTGACTTATGAAGGCTAGCACCTAACTAAGTGTTTGGTAATTTTTCGAATTGATAAGCCTAAAAAATTTTCGATTATTCGCCAGCAAAGATATCATATTTCCGTATTCAAATATATGTACGTTCGTAGTGTACGTTTACATTAATCATCAGATCTTAAATTAATATGTTGTGCGTCAGATCAGATTCAACTTTTAAACCTAAAACTTACCCTAAAAAATCTGAAGAACTGAGTCCGGCAAGTTACTGCATAAATTTAAAAGTCCATGGTTCGGTTTTTGTTTAACATAAATGATCAAATTCTATTTTAACCCTACGCATCTCCAACTCAAATTTCAATCTGATGATTAATGTAAACGTACACTACGAACGTACATATATTTGAATACGGAAATATGATATCTTTGCTGGCGAATAATCGAAAATTTTTTAGGCTTATCAATTCGAAAAATTACCAAACACTTAGTTAGGTGCTAGCCTTCATAAGTCAGATTTTCAAGCACTTTCAGAGATATAGATGTATTGAAAAACATCCGTCACTTTAAGAAAAAAAAAATAAAAATTACATAATATAACAAATAAATAAAAAAAAAGAGAATACATATAAATAACTAAATATAAAAAGAAAGAATTATGTAAATAAAATATACATTATTTAGAAAACATTTCACCGCTCCCCATTTCCCATCTGAAATAAAATGTAAAATCATTTTATAATCTCAAATTATAAAAATTGATTGGCTTGTTTAGATTTTGTAGCAGACTTACGATTTACAGAAAATATGGTGATATAATTGATAAAGTTT